ACGAAGGAGTGCAAGATGAGTGTTTGAGAGAAGAAGATGAAGGAGTACAAAGAGGAAAGCAGAAGAAGGCGAGGTAGGACAGATAATAATGATAGAGGAAGGACAGAGGAGAGTGGAAGACAATAAAAAGGGGAGATTATTGGATGGGGGGTTGAGCAGAGGGGTTAAGGGGAGAGAATAGAGAGGCAGAGAGATGAGAAAAAGGTTGATGGAAAAAAAAGTGCATCTACGAGCTATGAGTATCTACAACCACAATAATTTTTTTTGTACCTACATATCTTGATTCAAGTTTACACATTTGGCAGCCAGTACATTTTCTCTAATACCAATTGTGAAATTATTGTTGCCGGGTAATTTTGCCTTCTACTGCAATTAATTAAAACTGAGCCACAACCTCAGGCTTAAGTTGATTTTCTCTAATTGTTTTCTCTTGAGAGCAATGAATGCACCTTATTTGCATGCATGCTCTGGGGTAGCCTTCTAATTTGCTTCATTATTCTGAAAAATAAAATCAATTAGTTATTCAGTAAATAGCTTAGGCTGTGACCCAAGCTTTTAACAGTTCACAAAACGCTCACTAATGCTTACATTCTAAAATTCTCATTTGCATCTAATTAAAAGCCTTTGGCACACAGTGTTGAAAATAACTAATTTTGGCCCGTGGTTGTAAAAGAAAAACAGATTTGTCCTAACCTGGGAGCCCGACAGCATGCGCACACTCTTCAGCCGTAGAATCATGAGACCGTAGCAGACAGTGATGATGAGCACGGGCATGATGAAGGCAAAGATGAACACGCAGATCTTCAGCAGGGTGTCCCAGTACCAGGAGGGGTGGGGGAAAACCAGCTTGCAGTCAACAATGCTGGAGGCTGTGCAGGATGAGGAGACACTTATTATGTTCACATGTTTGCAGGTAAACAGACACAAACATTCATTACCTCCACTCTATTTTCACTAGTCTAGCTCTATTTGAACATTTGTGCTTTCCTTCCTCTGAAACTTGTTTAATCTTGTTGAACATAATCCAACCAAATGCAGTGTTCAAGTGTAATAGAGTATTTAGGGTGCAACTAATAATTATTTTGACTGTAATGTCTATGATTAACTGTCATTTAGTGACTAAATAGTGACTCAGATCTTATTTTGTCTGAGCAACAGTTCAAACCTTACGATATTTAATGAATGATATAAAACAGAGAAAAGCAGCAAATCCTCATATTTAAGGATGGATCCAGTAAAAAAATATATATATATTGAGCAACAGTATTTATTTGGAGTTGTGTCTACCTGGCGAATGGTAGTCTACAATAGTCAGCACCAGTTTTTCCTCAGCAACTCCTGAGGGAAATATCTGGCTCTTTAGCTACTCCACTGATGATGAACAACAGTCTCCATCTTTCTCATTTTCTGTCATCTCTCCACTGTCTAAATCTCTAATAAAGGCATAAAAATACCACTTCATTACTCTTTCTCCTTCAAACAGAGCAGGATCAGACTATTTCAGTGGCCTGTATTTGCAGGTAGCTCCTTGACTATGCAGCTGGTTATATTAGTCACCAGCCAGGCATATAGCATTAAACAGTTATTTTGCACAATTACACACAACAACACCCTAAACAACTCCTCTGGGTTGCCTCATTTTAAAGAGTTTTCTGGAATATAGAGAATGAATGATTTTTTTCCGAGCTAAACTTATGTTGAACTCATCTACCAAGTACAATGAAAGAAAGGAGCATGTGTCACAGCCTAAACTCGGCTTTTGTTGTTGTTGTTGCTACTTTATGGTTGGATGCTACTTTTTGACGTCATCCCTTTCTTTATTCAGATCTTCTGTTCGAAGAAATTCAAGGTTTTGCCATACAAATGGAATTATTGTCAAGGATATTTCCAGGAAAGCTAAGCTTTATCTATTTCTTATAGTTGTTTTAAAGAATATACAGTATGTTTCTATTGTTATGCATCCCACTCATTAGAGGTCATGTCCAAACCATATTCCTCCATACATAGTAAAAGCATTTGTGTACACACTGCAGTGTAGGAATAATGGTGGACGTGTGTGCGCATACTTACGAGTGACCGCGGTGGAGGCCATGAACATGACGGGCAGCCCAATGGCCGAGGAGAGAATCCAGTTGCAGACGTTGACTATCTTGGCGTTATGTGGTGTCCTGAAGTCCAGTGCTTTGACTGGGTGGCACACAGCGACGTAGCGGTCAATGCTCATGGTGGTGAGCGTGAAGATGGAGGTGAACATGTTGTAGTAGTCGATGGACATCACCATCTTGCAAAGCACGTCACCGAAAGGCCAGGTCCCCATCAGGTAGTTGACGCTCTGGAATGGTAGCGTGCTGGTGACCAAGGCGTCGGCCAGAGCAAGGTTGAAGATGTAGATGTTGGTGGCAGTCTTCATTTTAGTGTATCTGCACAGAAAGCATGGACGTATAATGAGATAACAGGCCCCTAATCTCCACCCTCCACCGCTTCTACACACATGCTGGAGCAGCAGCCGACAGGAAGAGACTCGACAAACTGATCAAGAAGGCCAAGCTCTGTCCTGGGTTGCCCCCCTCCGAACCTCAGTGAAGGTGGCGCGTGGGAGAGAGGAGGATAATGAGCAAAGCTATCTCACCGATGGACAATCGTCTCCACCCCACCATTGCAGGACAACGCAAGTCTTTTTGTAAGTCCCGTTTTGTAGTCGTTTTGTGAGTCTTTGTAAGTCTCCTGGTAGTCAACACAAAAAAATGACTGTGGACATTCACTCTTTGACTCAACTCTGTTGACTTCCCAAGAAGAACACGTCACTTCAAACAGAGGCTCTGGCCCAGAGCCCCCCTGACAGTTGAAATTATTCACAACACAGACAATGAAATGGCTCAACTGTTAAGAGCTCTTGTCAGCAAGGAAATATACTATGTTTAGCATTTGTTGTACACAATGCATTGAGATCACGTAAAAAACAAATAGAAATGATTTATCATGTGCGCCATGCCCTGCATACCAAAAACCCAAAAGAAACATGAAACTAACAACAATCATAATCTAGTCGTTTTTAGGACTAACATTTCTAGGTGAAATGCAGTGTTTATTGGTGAAAATCTAGTAAATATGGATTAAAAAGGAGTGAAAAGTTCAGCCACAGCCTGCAGCTCGAGACCACCTGAACGTTTGAAAAGTCAGAGTGATGGCATTTTAATCAAGCTGCTTCTGTTGTTTATAATGTTAAATGTGAGGAGGATTTCTACTGTTGAGTCCCGCGATGAGGTCAATATGCCTGCGAGCTATTATAGAGCTCCACAGGGTGGCATTACACAGCAAAGAGCTAATCAACCCAAATAATGAAGCTATAATGAAGCCATCAGGAATTAGATTGTCTCTATGAAAGGCACTACTTTCATTTGTTAATTTTTCACCTAAGATGTTCAGATTTAATTTTTTTCCCCATTGAGGTGATGGATGACAAGATTAATATCACTCTCTCTCTCTCTCTCTATGTCTCTATTTGACAATTGAATATAAAGCTACAACCAGCAGGTGGTTAGCTTAGCTTATTATAAAGACTGGAAACAGTGGTAAAACGTTAGCACCCTTTAATGCTCACCAATTAACACATTATATCTCGTTTGTTAAATCCGTCACACGACGTAACGTGTTAATTGGCTGACTATAGCCTTATATTTAACAGACAGGCATGAGAGTGGTATCATCACCTAATCTAACTCTCCCATAAGTGAATAAGAATATTTCTAAAAATGTCGTTCTACTCCTTTAATTTAATTTCCAAAGCTCAACAACGATCGAACTGTTGCTGCACTATTCCATGTAAATGCTGCTTAGACACATTCCGTAATGTTATTGAATTAATCTGGATACATAAAGTGACAATGATACATTACACCCGCTGGCCTTCACTTTATTAAACCCCAACTGTCATTATACCTACAAGGTAATTTACTTGGGCTTTGTTCTAGCACTCTCTTCAATAATCCTAAATCCTCTTAACAACCACAGATGACAGCTAGTTCATTAAATTCTGATTAACTTTAACACTGACAGCTTAGTGTGTTTGTTATTTCGGGTCTTTATTTGCACGGGGACTGACGAGACACCTCCAGATGAAGTAAAAGCTGTCACCTTACACTGAGTAGTGTGCTAGAGCTGGAGGTAATTTCCAGCAGCCTCTTATTGACTTTGTGACTGTCGATAACATGGGTGCAGATGATAGCTTGTGTTTCTCCTGTGTATTGTCCGTCTGAGGCTTATGTATGAGCAGCATGCTGTATGGGGCTGAATGGCCTCATCTCAAGTACCTTAATGGAATGAGGCTTTATTAATGAGTTTTCGGCTTTAATTTATTCTTCACCCTCGATGTTTTGTCACACTGATCACCCATTTATTGTCAACATGTTTTGATTACATATTAAGTCTTGTCAATCTTCTGAAACCTGTGTATTTCTAAATACAGTGGGAATAAATATACAGTAGAATTAACAATTTAAAAGGAACCTTGTTGCTGTATTAAGTATATTTATTTTATTATTTATTGACTTATCCCAAGTATAAAAGGTGGAACATAGGCTGATCCTTTCTCCCTGAGTAATGACAGTTGTAGTAGACAGTAGTCGCGCTTACGTACGCACGCGTCACATTTAGTTTCACAGGAAGAAAAAAGATTGGATTGCGATCAAATAGCTTGAACGACTATTGTGTTGTATCAACTGACAACGTATAGTTACAAAGTATATACTGTGAAAATGTAAGACACCCTGGTAGCTTACCTGCAGAGCCTGTACCAAGCGAGTCCTTGCTGCAGCAGCCATGGGTTCGACCTGTGGCCTTTTGCTGCGTTTCATCCTTTCTTTCTTTCCCTCTTTCTTATCAATCTTCAGCTGTCCTATCTAATAAAGCCCCCAAAAAATATTTTTAAAAAACCCCACATTATTTCTCTATTGAGTGTAAAATGAATTCCCATGCCAGCAGTAAACATTTGATAAGTATCACTCATAAAGAGAATACAAATGTACGGCGGATGGTTTCATTTTGGAAGAAATCTCTAACAAGAAATCTGAAGCTCTGTTCATTTCGCATAAACAGGCGATAAGAACCTTGTCTGATTATACATCAGTGAACAGACTACAAATTGTTTACTGCAAATATTCAGCCTATTATTGACAGTGAAGCAACAGAGAGAGCAGACGAAAGTAAACATCTGCAAAGAGTAATGTTTTGGTGTGTGAATAAACAGCACTTGAAAACAGAACGTGTGCAATCGGCCTCTAAACCACCTTGAGTTGGTTTTTTCCTGGACCACAGAAGCACAGAAGAAGCAGATAAATGTGGAGTAATGGACCTTAAAATCATCCAAAGCACTCCTTTTGGTTAAACTATGTATAATTCATAGCCTTCCATCAACCCATTAGCTGTGGTTCCCACCTGGGGCAGTGGGACATCTCGTTCTTCCTCCTGTTTCTCATCTGATGAGAAAAAAACAGATTTGATAATGACTCTAAATTATCCCTGAGACAATTTGGACGAGACGTTGATTTACAAACTCATCACACGTGTTTCCAGACGAAAGAAAGACAAACATCAGCCTAGTCTCCCAGGCAGTTCTCTACAATGCATTATTCAAACATCCAAAATCATCTGACACATCCTGCGTCAGCAAAACAGTTAACAGTTAGTATCCTCATTACAAAAAATTTACATGAAAAAGCTCCGAAACGGGTGGAGCAGCGAGGATTGGTTGTTTCAATATGCACAAAGAGCTTAATGTGGCCATTTTGGCAAATTTGTAATTATGATAAAATACTTTGTTTTTCCCCTACTCTGACTAAAGACCACAAATAATCTTCTATCTACGCTGTATGACAAAATATTGAACAGAAAATTACAATTACCTCAAGCCTGGCTCCTAAATGAGCCTCATCTGTTGCTGAAACTTTAATATTGAAACACAGAAACAGCTATTTAACTGGCCATTATTCTTTTGAATGAGATTTTTTTCTCTTGTTTTGCTCATGAAGTTGATAAGAATGAAAATTTAAGTGGTGACACATTTAGACTTTGGCAATGATATAAAGGAATTAGAGAAGCTACCATATATTAATGTCGAACGTTATCAGCTGCAAGTAAAACATGTTTTACCATCCACCCACTTATTTGGATATAAGTCCACCACATGGTTAGGTCAATAGGAGGCCCCTTTCTGTTAACAAGCTTCTACAATGTAATGTGCATCAATTCTCATTTCACATACAATATATTGCACACCAGGATGAACTCATGTGATGTGTTTTTTTGTGTTGGTGCTGTAAAAAGTAGAAGGGCATTTTCTTTCACACGTGATCCTGTTAGCATGTTAACATTTGCGAATAGCAATAAACACAAAGTTTTTGATGAGAAGTACTTAATTAGCTAACTTTTTAGTTATAAGCCAAAGAAAAAACATTTGAACTGTTGGCCGTGCTAGAAGAAAAGTCAGGGGAACATCAAATTATATGCTTAACTATATACAATTGATCGTACAATTTTACAGTTTCAATTGTAATCATATAAGTGCACAAACCTCTATTCACATACATGTTTAGACGGTCACTCTCTCCACTGGTGCTAATAAATATTACATGTGCTGCCTGTGTAATTTGACTGAAGCAGGCCAACCCCAGCTCTTCAATAACAAAGGATGAACACTGGCCCAATTATTTCTGGCTGCCAATAATGTCAGAGTGTCCGTCTTGTTTAAGAAACACTGAGATCAGTGACTGACGTGAACACACGTGGGACAACCAGGCAGGAGAGAAAATGCATTCTTCCCACACAGCATGTCCACGGTTCATGAATACAGTATGCAGCGTGGAGCTGTTCAAATGTGCCTGAATGTTAATTAGTTGATAACTGTCTGTTTTCATGTGAGGATCGTGCTTCACCATGGCAACAACCGTGAGCAGGCAGAGGAGAGTCTCACAGCAGGCGTGACTATAACATAGAAAGAGCCTATTGACACTGAAAGTGAACAATTATCTGTATAGTTTGTTGGTGATTGTTGATTTCTGATTTAATGAGGGAGCAGCGATGAAAACTTTTATGACTTGTGGCCAGTGAAACATCTACAAACTAGAAAATAGACGTGTGGCATTTATGTGTGGTGTTGTTATGAAAGGTTAGGGTATCATGTTTATATGCTCTTTCATTCCCACTGGCTGAAGCTGTCTAATGGGTCCAACATCAGCCAGTGTGTATTACCAACACCCTTACATCATACACTGTAATTCAGGGACTACCGTCCCTTAAGAAGAATGGTGAATCTTGATAGACAGGGGAAATTGAATTCAATTTTGTTTGAATAGTTAACAGCACAGTAATAAAACATAAAAGCAACGGGATTGAAAAAAAAAGAGCTGAGGCTATTAATTTGTAT